TACGTTTTCCTCATCAACGATACTAAGAATTATTCAATATTGTTGTTAACTAATTATATTTTGTCTGTGATGATCGCCTCGAAAAAGCACGTTTTCTTCACACTAGGTATGTCTCCTGTGTCGTGAAGGCTTTACATAGGTAAATTGTACACAAAAACTGCCAGACTGAACAATTTATAGGCTACGAGCGATATACAATGAGTGATTTTTGTATCTCGACAACATATACATGTATTATACATATAAAAATTCCTCTTGAATCGTTCTGTCTGTTGATGAAAACCGCAGTAAAAATCCGTTGCGGTGTTTAAAAGATCTAAGTGTATGGACGGCGGGAAGCGACTTTGTTTTATACTGTGTAGAGATACCATCATAGAAAATTAGGCAGGGAGCTGCGTATATATCATGTGATGTCATAACCATGCTCAACTAATTGACACGCACTCATGATCACATCTTTCTTCTTTCATTCTTCAACAGTCCGTAAAATTTCACTGCTGGACGCATTCATATATACATCTAAAATCAAGTCGTTGGTTGTAATTAGTAGAGATTTGAAAGCCTTTAGCCCAAAGTTCAAAAACTTTATTAAACAATGTTCGAATAAAAAAGTAAGTTAGTAGTTAATAACATTAAGGAATTTATGGACGACCATAACCCCTGGTAATGACCTATTGCTACCAAGCTGTTTCTAATTTGTTTTGTGTTGATTAATTGTGTAACAAACATTCTTTTTTATAGGATAGGGTACACAGTCTACCTAATGGTAGGTGGATGCTGTGGTACATATAACTCGTACGAATTAACTTGAGACCTGGGCCGATGACGTAATTGTCAATGTACGGTGTGCAAAATAATGCGTCGTAATATTTTTTTATTTGAATTTTTTGAGATTTGCATGAGATTATTAATAAAAACAAAATAAAATGTTCTGGCCAGGGGTGAAGTAGTAAGTAATATACTGTTGCCATTTTTATATATTTTAAATATTTATTTTTTATAATATATATAATATTATTTTTAGTTAACGTGTCAAGGAAGGACAAAGAAATAAACATACACACTTTCTCATTTATTAATCATTATTAATTTATTTATTATACACCCTCGTTTATGTATTATACAGCCTCGTTTTTCATTCTTAGTAGTGTTGCCTTTGATATGCCTGTTGCTGCACAAGCCCTCTTTAAAGCTTGGTCCACAGGAATAAGAAACTTTTTATTTGATTTTTCATCTTCGAAAAATTTTAAAACTTTTAGAGCAAGTGTCTGTGCTTGGCTATGTATTGTCTTTCCTCCCATCTTTTTTTAAAAATAAAAAAGGCGGAGTAACTTCTAAGCGTCACAAGAAAACGGAACAACACAACGTCCGAACTTAACAATAAAACAACGCAATTAACAACAAACAGATAAAATAACGTTCAAGTATAACAAAAACAAACAAAAGTTCTAACTAAACAACAAACTATTATCAAAAATATCGAACTAGAGTCGAGACGCGTATCCGTAACAAAAATGCTATCGGTACTGAGCGCGCACGGCCAGCGCGGGACGCGTTGCGGGGAGTCGGGAAGGGGGTCGCATTTCAGCGGAGTCTCAAGTTAATTCGTACGTGTTGTAGACATCTACAGAATTTATTTTTATTAGAAATTTATTAAAAAAAAGATTAATGCAGCTGTCTTTCGTATGGTGAGTGTTGAGAACCGGAGACCGGTTTTACTAAAAACGAGGTATTTCATCTTAGTCCTCATCACGAGTGATAACGCATCTGCCTTTTGATTCATAATTGAGGATAATTGTAGCACGTAGATGTCTATGAGCCAAAGCAACCACTTACCATCAGGTGGAATGTGTGCTCGTTTGTAACCCGTTTTCCTATACAAAAAAATAAAATAAAAATATGTATACACAAGCGCGTTTTTACAATAACTTGAGGATCTTTATTTTTTGGGCTGAGTGGGCTATACACGGCATTAAAACTTAACATTAAAACACTACGTTTTTGAGCATGGAAACTGTTTTATTCCATACCATGCGAATGTACCGACGATATGATTTAGTGGGCATGGTATCTAACTTCTTAGTAACAGGTTGTGGGATCAGGTGGAGGTATGCAGAAGATATGACATATAGTCTGTTCGCTTAAATGCGGTCGCCTTTGTATCAAATTTACCTTGGCACGTGCCGCACCTTGTCAAAGGCACCGTTGCGACATCATACGGGAGACACCCGCATCAATTTGGCATTTTAAGACGAAGCGCCGTAGTGAAAATTTCGTTGCTACCTATCTTGTGTTTATTATTTTTAATCCTATTTTATTACAATAACCATAACAATAAGATATTCTATAAGATATAAGCAAAATAATAAGTGCGCCTCCGGGTATACCGAAACTACCTTAGTTCACAGAACAGACTATATATAACATGACGGATCGATAGCGTAGTGTTAGCGCTGTAGGCTGTTCTAGTGCAAGTGCGGTCTGCTCTGCTATTTCTCGCTGGTATACTGTGCAAGTGCGGTCCTTCGCTGGTTGCGTTGATAAGATTCAGCACAAATACGCGTAAAATAAAGACCGTGTCCGGGATTAATGCATATATATATATATATATATATATATATATATATATATATATATATATACATAAATATTGTTTGCATCAGTTTTCTACTCAAAGTTTGTCTGGAAGAGGTCACTTTCAGAGTGATAAGACCGCCTGTTGTACATATTCTACTTTAGATTTAACTGTACTCGTTATTTTGTATTTTCATGTACAATAAAGAGTAAATAATAAGTATATAATAAATTAAATCAGTTCACAACAGTCGACGATATGGCGTTTTTTTTATAGAACAAGGATAAGTGTAGATGTCTATAGGCCACAGAATTCACTTACCATCAGGTGCACTGTGTGCTCTTTGTCGCCCTTATTTTATAAAAAAATACTACGAGATACCATTCCATTTCTACCTAGGAGCTCGTTCGGAGGTATCGCCCTCTGCTTGTAGCCGTCGGGCAGCCGTACGTGCACTGCTGAGTGTTGGTCTGAGGGAATAATAGCCAGTATAACAATGGACTGTGAGGCATTCCGTCTGTAACCTCCTCTGAATGAAGTGTATTGCAGATGTCCATGAGCTATAATAACCACTTACAATCAGGTGGACTATTTGTTCGTTTTCCACTTCAGAGTTATAAAAAAGCCATTTCTGTTTGATATATCTCACAGCCGTATCTTATTTTAAATATGGGAATGATATGCATCGTACTTTAACTATGGGATAGCGTTATTAATTTGTTTATTTATTTAACAATTTATGTACACTCAAAGTGATGTTACAGTGAAAAAAAAATATTTAGTACAAAGGCACTGCCTATTTCATTTTGAAATTTCTTCCAGCAGACCTGACACCGCACAGATTCAAGGAGAAGCGGATTTAGTGTGCACTCTCATAATAAATTTTATAATATTAATATATTAAGTATAAAATAAAGATAATAAAACATATATCCACACGTACAAACATACATATACCTAAATACTATACTTTATACATATACAAAATAAAATACATATAGATACACATACATACATATACAAGTGTAAGTACAAAAGCCGTGGTAGCTCAGTGGTTAACGCTCGCTGTAAATATAACAGAATGCGAGTAACCCGGGTTCAATCCCCCGCCGGCACCAATGAAATTGTTAATTGCAATTTTAAGTGCTGATTTACCACGTGCTCGGCGGTGAAGGAAAACATCGTGAGGAAACCTGCATGTCTGAGGAATAACAAAAAAAAATATTTCGAAGACATGTGAAGTTCGTCAACACGCATTTGGGCAGCGCGGCGGACACTTCCTTGCCCTAAACCCTCTCAGAAATGAGGGGAGGCCTGAGCCCAGCAGTGGGACGTATATAGGCTGTAACTTTACTTTTTTTTTACATATACAAGTCACACAATATATCATTGGGACGACAAAGAAAGAGTGCTCTTTAACTCGCCTTTTAAACACTTAATTTTTACGTTTAGTGGCGGTGTAAGAATATCCACTACACCATATCATCACGTGGGTGTCTTAAGCTCGTAAGATGCGACAGAGGGAAACAAACCAGGAGAAGGGCAGCAGCGTCTTCCTTAAAACGACCAAATATGAGAACTGCAGTTGCCAACCCACTTGCCAAGCGTTGCAACTATACCAAATATCCCCTATGAGGTAATATAAGAGAAGGCCTATATTCAGCGGTGGATTTTAACCTTTCAAGCGCCATAAAAATCCCATGCAGTCGCATGCGCCCGGCAAATACCGAACGGTCGCATGCGACCGCACCCACCCAAAGCACTTAAAAACAATAAAACTTATATTTAGAGACTACTTTTCTATGAAGAAGTTTAGCATTACAAAATCTATACAAAATTCTCTACTCTGTGGTCTAAACAAAAGTCAGGTTTTACTTCATTACAAAAAGATTTTATTGTATTTTGATAACAAAAAACATACCAAGCGAATGTCGGCAGCGTGAAAATCACAAATATTTCAATATATATATATTACTCGAAATCATTTACGTAGAAAGATAAATTATATTCACACAAAAACTTTCGTTATAATTTTATAATAAATCACTATACTAAAACACTAATAAAACACAAGAAAAATACAAAAATCAACAAAATAACATTCACGCGAAAGTGGCGTACGAAATAAACGTAGATTATAAATAAATATTCATAGAATAACACTTTTTATTGCACTAGACCCAGAGGATAGAGTATTTCATTATGATTATATAATGCCAAACTTCTTCATAGAAAAGTAGTCTCTATATATAAATTTTTATGGGTTAAAGTGCTGTGGGTGGGTGCTACCTCATGATACCGATAAGGATTTGACGGAATATGGCCGCGGTCTCATGAAACCGCTAGGGGGTTGAGAGGTTAAAAGGCGTCCTCACTACACGGTAATTTTTACGTACTAGGAGATCGTGATTCGTAATCAACTGACCTGTGTTTGTGTGGTGGGTGGAGGCGTTATAGGGTTGCTAATATCCCTTGTGTCTGGTGGGAGACAGCACGTGTCCATGTAGGAGGCGCAAGGGCCGTCGCGAACACTGGAACAAATATATTTGTAATCAATAGCTATCATTGTTAGTAGAATCAGGCATTACTTTGCAGAAATTCATTATATTGAAAACTTGAAGAATTGAGGTTGGGTGCACATCATTTGAATGTACTCAACATTTTATTTCATTACGCGGAAATGAGCAAATTAAATCTAACAATTTCAATACAATAAGCTAAAAGCCAATTCCTGGATCATGGCTCAACGTAAAATCTAACAGAGGTTCACGGTCTTCACGACAGTATAGTTTCCTACTACACTAGTCCGGTTGTGTTTTTTTTTAAATAAGGGTAAGAAATGAGCACACAGTCCACCTTATGGTAAGTAGACGCTGTTTCCCAGATATCTACATTTAACCTCGATTAAGAATCAAAATGCAGATGCGTTGTCAACCCTGAGGACTAAGTTGGAATGCCTTGCATCCAGTTAAAAGAGTCTCCGGTTCTCTACACTCACCATAGGACAACGATCTCACAGAAAACCAGCGTAAAATTGCAGCTTGATGCTGCTATGCTTCGTATGTTAAGTGTAGAGAACCGGAGACCATTTTTACTGAAAACGATACATTACCTCATAGTCCTCAATCGCGTGTCTGATTCGGTTATGTTCATGCAGAAAAAATAAATGCTTAAAAAAACTTAAACCACACGCTCATAATCAATTTATGAGCTGTGATGATCCTGATAACTTTATTATTAGATCCTGGTGATCCTGATCAGGATACTAGGATAAAATTATTAAATTATTGTATTTTTATCGGTGTTTGATATGAGTGCAAATTTTCAAGTCAATCAACCGTCTACAAGTTGGTGAAAATTACGTTAAAATATTCCTTTTCATAGATACATACAAGCAGAGCTAATAAAAGCGTGTTATAAAGCGTGGCGCTTTGGTTAACGTTTATATTTTTAAAGTTACGTTTTAATATGTAATACTTTGCCAATTCCATAGTTGATGTCAACGATACTATCCTAATGAAGTTCCCTGGATGGTTTAGACAATTGGGGACGGCATTGTTGTCCAGATCCAGAAATCACCAATGGGAAGACGAGGCCGATCGCTGGTTATAGAAAAAATGTGACTTCTTCTCCACATGAGGTACAAGGCTAGACCGTATGGGTATACTCACCGAATATCAATTATGCCAACACCATCAGTGATGACGGAGTTGTTTGCGTTACATAAATAGTATCTGACGCATTCGCCTATTCTGCCGTCCTCCATCTTGCAGCTCTTGTCTCCAACTAGAAGAAATAATAATGACAACACATTTATTTGTCTATTGGGTCTTAATTTGTGGTCAAGAGTAGAATAGAATGAAATATTATAGAAGAAGATTTTCACATGAAACTTATTGAAAATCATTATTTATTTACCACTGGTTCGGAAAATATGATATTTAAACATATTTTTTTATAGAATAAGGGTGACAAACGAGCACACAGTCCACCTGATGGTAAGTGGATGCTGTGGCCCATAGACATAGATTTATCTTCGATTAAGAATCAAAATCCAAACAAGTTGTCACCCATGAGGACTACTAATTCTCTACTGGGTCTGCGATTCTCTACACTCAACATACGAAACGCAGCAGCGTTAAGCTACCAATTTTATAATTCCAAGTTTCTTCTACCTTTTGAGTGGATAGGAGGTGGAAGAAATATCAAGTTACAGTAAAAGCTTTATACACCATTTTGCCACCAGTGGGGATGGATTTTGTTCTTCAAACTTAGGTATATGGGACCACCCTTTAAGTGTAAACAATTTAATAAATTAAAGAATTATCCAATACTACTTTTTAGCACACAGTCCACCCGATGGTTAGTGGTTGCTGTAAAGTAAAAAGTAAAGTTACAGCCTATATACCGTCCCACTGCTGGGCACAGGCTTCTTCTCATTTTTGAGAGGGTTTTAGGATAAGGAAGTGTCCGCCATGCTGCCCTAATGCGTGTTTGCGAACTTCATATGTCTTCGAAATATTTTTTCTTATTCCTCAGAAACGCAGATTTCCTCACGATGTTTTCCTTCACCGCCGAGCACGTGGTAAATCAGCACTTAAAATTGCAATAACAATTTCATTGGTTCCGGCGGGGATAGAACCCGGGTTACTCGCGTTCTGTTATATTTACAGCGAGCGTTCATCCATCTGAGCTACCACGGCTGCTATGTGTGTGTAAAAAGCCGGACAGACCAGCGAAGCTTAGCCAGATGTTTTGGTAATAATGCCCGACACCCTTAACTTTTTCTTAGTATAACATTTTTAAAGTAAAACAATGCTTTTTATCACTTACTATTATACAGATCATAAATAAGACTTAAAGTCACTCTTTTGTTTAATTTACCCCGGTTCGGAAAATTACCTCTGTTCTAAGAAGAACCAGCAAGATAAGCAGCAGTACTGAGTAATTTATTGGTGAAGGGGGGATGTAATAGTAGCCCTTTTTGTAACATGCAAATGAAATATCCTCTCGACTTTTTTTAAATTAAAATAGTACACACATTTTTTATGGAATAGGGTGACAAACGAGCACACAGTCCACCTGATGGTAAGTGGCTGCTGCGGCCATGAATTTCGTTACGTGAAAATGCAGATGCGTTGTAACCCGTGAGGACTAAGATGGAATGCCTCGTTTCCACTAAAAAGTTACACTCACCATACAAAACACAGCAGCATTAAGCTGCTATTTTACGCTGGTAATCTGTGAGAGCGTGGTCCTTCCCCGGTCGAGCCGACCCATTCGTGCTTCAACTATACTACTAATATAACTGCAGCATGGCTCTACCACGTATAATAACTCATTCCTCCCTCCTCGTTCCATCATCGGACAATCAAACGGTCGGCGAGTCTCCACCAGTTTGTTATCGATATCTCACGCATTCGAACCAAACGGTTTGCTTAGTCTTTTGTAATCCGTACGAGAAAGGAGTGGAATAATGCACCGACGTTTGTATTTCTGTCTGAATACAATCTGGGCGTCTTTAAGGCAAGAGCGAATAGGCTTTTGTTACGCTAAGATAGCGAGATTTACTATCTAAGGCTGCATCACCACTTACCAGCAGGTGGGACTTTGGTCAAGAATGGAAAAGGGGAGATCTCCCGCCGGGACAAGGTGATTGGTTTCGAGATCGGCCAATGCACCATGTGTTAGTACAGAGCTATTCTATGTACACCGCAGTGTGGCACAGAGTCAGTAATTCATTCTTGAGGCAATGTATACACTATTAAAACAAAATCCCAGAAAATAAACAAGGTCAGTTTACATATTTTATTAAACAAAAACTGTATGAAAAATGATATTATATAAATGAAAATATGGTTGATAATAAACCCTGGAAATGAGGTGATCGCCTTCAAGCTGTTTCTAAAATAAATTTTGTAAATAGTTTGTACAACCTTTCATATCGTAAAATTTACTTTAAAAATAAGTCCCGCTGGGTTTCTTATTGGTTCTTCCCAGGATAGAAGTTTTTTCTTAACCAGTGTTAAAAGTAAAAAATGACTTTCAATAAGAATTACATACATGTGATCTATATTGAATAAAAAAATATTCTATTCTATTTTATTGTACTACGACGGAACTTTGATAGCGCGATTTAGACTTCTGGTGGGTTTCGCTTGTAGTGCGACCACAAGGGCTTTGGGATTATGTTCATGCACTGGCTTTGATGCTGCTGTTGTTTTTACATCTGGTGCAAACGAGATAGGCATAGTGCCATCTATCGGAATTTAAGACATAATACTGGAATCTTAGTTGTCCTTAATACACGAAATAAAATTTTCACTTACCCTCATTATCGGAAATCCCCGGTACCAACGTTGAAGCTTGAGGTAAGGGGTTCGCTGTAGTCTGGCTGTTGGGGTCTCCGAAAATTTGTTTGATGACTGAGTCCAGGTCACCCAACTCACCTTGCCCCCGGCAGAAAGCCAGAAGGGTAACAAATATTAAAAACCGCATCATCTGCAAATTAATTTATTTAATAAATACTGTGTATTTGGCAATATGTTTAGCAATACTTTTTGTAATCGCTTTTGGATTTTATAAGGGTGACAAATGAGAACAGGATTTTTGGTAAGTGGTTGCCCATAACATTACTATCCTCGATTAAGAATCAAAATGTAGATACGTTGTCGTGAAAACTAAAATGGAATACCTCGTTTCCAGTAAAAATAGTCTCCGTAATCGTATGGACGAAACGCAGCAGCAATTTGGTTGCAGGCACTTGCCATCCGGTGAATTGTAAGTTCATTAGTTTCTTCCATTTTGTAACGTATAGCTACAGCATTTAAATTTCTGAAAATACAAAATACTAGCGATCTGCCCTGGCTTCGCACGTGTGATTTATGGATCTCTACAACAGCGCCGCCTACCGTGTTCAAATGTGAATATAAACCATCTAGGAAACAATTTAAAGACATACAAAAAATCATTAAAATCGGTTGGATGGTTTCAAAGTCTATAACGGACATAGGTAAAAACATTTTTTGTGTTTTATATATTAACTAGTGATCCGCACGGGTTCGCACTGTTGATTTCTGAATCTCTACAACTGTGCCACCTACCGGATACAAATGTGAATATAAACCATCTAGAGACTAATTCAAACACACAAAGAAATTTATCAAAATCGGTTGGATGGTTTCAAAGTATAACAGACATAGGTAGAAATATTTCTTGTGTTTTGTATAGATAGAATATAATCTATAGAGCGAAGCTATAAGTGTCTTTAAACACTAACTTGTCCGCTTTTATTTTTCAACAGGTAACAAAACTACATTTAAAGAAAAATAACGAATAAAATATGGACTTACAGTAATGGAATCAATGTCTACACTGTGGATAAAAAAGTTAAATGTGACTTGCTCTCTCGCTTCGTTAAAATCTCACAGGTTAAAACTATTAAGATTATAATGACGATGTCGACGACCGAATATCGGGTTATCGGTCTATTAGAACTAAATTTAATTTATGTATATGTGATATATGCAGATGATTCTGCCTGTGCAATTTATGATAGGTACGTCGCCATATTATGATTTGGACGATAATTTATAATTTTGATTTTTGTTAATTCAAAAAAGTTTCTTTAAAAAGTAAAATCAATGACCGTGCGTCAGTCTAGCAAAAAATCGAAAATGGCTCGATCGATTTTGATGAATATTTTTGTGTATAGAATATTTAGTAAGATAGCTTAGATAGGCTTAGTTTACATGGTAGGTAGCGCTGTTGTTTTTTTTTTTAATTTATTCAACAAAGTAACAGTTTTAATTACAAAATCAATTTCTTCGTGCCATTAAACATCTATTGTTTGTCTTGGCACTGCACAGTTTGCTCTTATACATTAATTTACTTAAGCTTATTATTTAAATGACATTGGAATTAACTTTTACTTAAACTAAATATAAAGTACTATGTAACAATTGTGCTACAAAATATTTAAAAAAATTGCCATAAAAATTTTATATAAAATCTATAATACTAATATTAATATAACTATTTTTTGTGGAGAATGTAGTTTTTTTCTTTTTGTCTTCAATTGTTCGCTTATCCGATATACTGTACTATCTTATTTATGCGCGTACACACGGAGTGTATTTTTAAGGAATAATTTTGGTACACGTTTTGTTTATTTGTCCAATTATTGGCATAGATAGATATAGCTCGTTATGATTCTCATTGAAATAATATACAGGATGTTAGTGTAAACGTGTTAGTGTTGATACCGTGAAATCAACCTTTCGAAACCCTGGCGGATCGCTAGTGTCATAAATATCAGCAACAGCAGGTATAGGTGCGGCTGACATGGTCATGGGCCACCCCAAAGTCCCATAAATTTATATATGACATAAATTACGCGCAAGTGCTACGGCGGCTAAATCATCAGCCAATAAATGGTGGCATATCAAGATATAGGTACCCATGAAGATTACGATCTGTCCAATTACGACTACGACACACACATACGACACACACACACACACACTTGATATATTACAAAAGTAAAATTCGAAAGCTATACAAATTAGTAAAATTGATGTGTCTGTGTGTAATTATATACAGTACCTATAACAAAAGAACAGTTTTTAAAATTTTTGCTGCCTGTCTGTTTGTTCCGGGTAATCCCCGAGATGGCTAGACCGATTTTATGAGACTTTCACTGACAGATACATGATGTTATAAGGAGTAAATTCGGCTACTTTTATTTTATTAACAGCAGCGCACCTTCCTAATAAATACTAAAAATAAAAAAAAACTGTGGTTGCCAACCCGCTTGTTAAGTTTGGCAACTATGGTATATATTCCCCCTATGAGGCGATCTATGTGGGAGCCCTATGTTCAGCAGTGGACTTTAATAGACTGTAACGGTAAAGGTAACAATAAGAACTCTAATAAATGTTTTATATAATCCAAAAAGGTTAATGATTAAACTTAAAAAAAAGTAAAACCAACTACAAAATTAAAAGTGTTAAGATCAATAAAATAAAATGTATTTAAGAACTGAATCCTCGTATTTAAAATCAATGTTCCAAAGAATGTGTATATTATTTTATTCTTTTTAATTTTTGAAGTCAATTATACTTCTTAGTTTATCTAAAGTTTAATTTTTTTTATTGAAATAGGGTGACAAACGAGCACACAGTCCACCCGATGGTAATTGAATGCTCCGGCCCATACACACCCATATCAATCCTCAATTAAGTATCAAAATGCAGATCCGTTGTCACCACTGAGGACTATGATGGAATGTCTCGTTTCCAGTAAAAAGTGCCTATAGTTATCTGCACTCACGCACCATCAAAACACAGCAGCATTAAGTTACTATTTTACGCTGGTATTCTGTGAGAACGTGGTCCTTCCCCGGTCGAGCCGACCCATTCCTATTTTCCACTTCCTTACTGTTATATTGCTACAGCATTGCTCTACAACGTATAAACGTGGTACGTGGTTTTAAACGTGGTAGAGCCGTATTGGATGACTAATGGGTCGGCTCGACCGGGGAAGGACCACGCTCTCACAGAATACCAGCGGAAAACCCCAGCTTAATGCTGCTGTGTTTCGTATGGTGAGTGTAGAGAATCGGAGACCCTTTATACTGAAAACAAGGCATTCCGTCTTAGGCTTCACGGGTGACAATGCATCTGCATTTTGAGACGTAATCGAGGATAGACGTAGATGTCTATGGGCCACAGCAACCACTTACTATCAGGTGGACTGTGCTCGTGTGAAAAATAGAAAATCAAAAATAGGTGAGGTGCATAAGTTGATAAACTGGAATTTTCTTTCTAAAAGGGTTTTTCTGCACTGTATTTGTAAAACGTATCGTACAGGAAAACGAATCGATTTTAAATATAGAAACCTGGCATATATCGCACCTTTAAACACAGAGGACCTACAAATTAATATAATGTCAAGTTCGGATTACGTTGACCCCAGAATCGAGCCTGTGAACGACAACGAGCCCAACGGCCAGAAGCTGAATGTCTACGTCGGCGGTGGATCCCTGATTCATCCTAGCATTGTGCTGACAGCAGCGCACTATGTCGCCGGAGCTCAAGCTCTAAGGGCCAGAGCTGGAGAATGGGATACCCAAACCACTAAAGAGATCTATCCATACCAGGATAGGGACGTGGCCAGAATCGAGGTTCACAAAGACTTTAACAAAGGTGAGTGGGATATATATATATCCCACTCACCTTTGTTAAAGTATAATCGAGTATAGATGTAGATGTCTATGGGCCACAGCAACTACCTACCATCAGGTGGACTGTGTGCTCGTTTGTCTCCATTATTCTATAAAAAACATTTTATCTTTTTTTTTAAAACGTTACCCCCGCACTAGGATTTTCTCCCGTATCGTGGAAGCAGTTTACACAAGTTTGCACATGGACAAACATCCAGATCCGGAACAATTATTTGTAGGCCATACAAATACTTTTTCCGTGCCGGATTCGAACCCGCGACCCCCAGTGCAGCCATTCATTGCTAAGGCACTGCGCCACGGAGCCGTCAAAATTAATTTAATTAAGTACAATACCCTTTTAAGTGGAGTTAGGAAAATAATAAGTTCAAGGAAATCTTGAACACCGCCTTAAGACGACACGTCGAAAACGCTATCGCCATACTGATCCGAGTGAATACATAATTTCTATATAAACTTGAAGAAACGACGTCATAAGGTCTAAAGTAGCGTAGCGCCCGCGACGATTAAAAACGCTTAGAAATTGTCAGAATCTTAAAATATTTTTTAAAAAATTATTGATTTAAGTTATCAAAATAATGAGCAAGTAAATTATGAATATTGATGTTATGAATATATTTGAGTAATTCCCAAGCATATAGATCAAATTATTTCGTTGTAATTTCAACTATAGTGATATTTAGAGGTGTTTTCGCAAATAATTACGTTCGAGTCAAAATTATACAATCGTGTTTTTGAGCAATCAAATTCAAGATAAAGACATGAATTTACCTATATCAAAATCCCACTTTCGTTAGTGGTGTTATAGTCCTATACTATTCGATGAAAGGAGAATTTTTTCACGGTGTCGCCTTAATAGGTTAATTAAAAACTTAATCTCCAATTTTTCACACATAGAGTTAAATGTTTATTATAGTTCATACGAAGCTAGTCCACCAGTACACAAGTGAGCCGTGATAGCTCAGATGGTTAGCGCTCGCTGTCAATTTCACAATACGTGAGTAACCCGAGTTCGATCCCCGCCGGCAGCAATGAAATTGTAAATTGTAATTTTAAGTGCTGATTTACCACGTGCCAGACGGTGAATGGACACATCGTGAGGAAACCTGCATGTCTGAGAAATAAGAAAAATAATATTTCAAGGATATGTGAAATTCGCCAACACGCATTGGGGCAGCTCTCAGAAATGAAAACAAGCCTGTCCCCCAGCAGTGGGACGCCACCTAGTACACCTAGTACATCTGGTACACCAGATAGCAAA